ATTTATAATAGTATACGTATATTTTGTATAAAAACTAAAACTCAATAGGTGATAAATACAATACATTGAAGCATTTAAACTATTTTTTCCATTCTTAAGCATGTAGAAATTTCTAACTGTGAATATTGTATTACGCATCGTTAAATTTGTCTTGACGTCATATAAAGAGTCATGAGGCGCTTTTACATAAAATAAAAACATACGTAGCCCTCCATTTAAAAAATGAGCCTTTTTTTCATTGTCCTTGGTTGTGCATTTTAAACAAAAAAGTTTATATATGCTGTTATATTAGTCGCAAAATTGAAATTAAATCTTGTCCTACTTTCTATTTTCCTATATTCACATCATACACCACAAAAGCGCAGGTTAGTGATTGCGCGAACACACTGTATGAATGTCCGAATAATCAATAATCGAATGACCAGGATTCTACCGTGCAGGTAGACCAATATTTCATCCGACTGCTGCAGCCCGCAGCTCTAAAACAGTACCTGAAAGGCAGTAAAAAATATGATTATGCAAAATTACTTGATTTCAAATTATATGTTGTGTATTGTAATACATTTACCTGCTCGATAAGTGAAGACATTTCATGCTTCGAAAACATCTGCATTTCCTTCTTTAACAAAATTGTACATTCTAGTGTAAAAGTATTTCAATAACCTCACGACAAAGCTATATTGTCGGCTGATTAATATTATTAGTTTTAAAGGAAAAAATATTGAAACAATAATACAAATCATGTACGTTATTGTAATATATTGTTAAAAATGACATTTGATGTATCAACATACAATTTGATTAAACCCTTTATTCCGTCTGTCAAGTACTGTACTTTCAGTGCCAAGACGAAATATGTCTGAAATATTTTCTAATTGTAAGTTATCTAATTTTTGATACAGACATATTTCACTGTTGCCTTTAGACCACTCCCCTTTAAATATTCTGTACATCACTCGCCCCGATGCCTGCAAATTTGTTTCTCTACGTTCTACAGTGCGATAATGTCCAATTAATACTAAACAACCACGCCACCGTAGAAAAGACAATGAGAAATGCAACTGATCTGCTTAAAATCAGCGGGAAACCTCATCGAAAGCACTCAAAACCGACAGAATCTGAGAACAGGGCAATCGATCATATCGCCGATTCCTTTCACAAACGCTGCTCGCGCGTTTCTCTCGCTGCAACCCCTCGCCTGGAGAGGCGTTTACAAACACCCCCATAAGGTAGCGGCAGCGTTGAACAAAAACCACGAAAGGACCACGGCCGGCGGTGGTTGACGGCAGCAAGGGGTTCACTTACGAGGAGAAAAAAAAGGAAAGATATGAATAAATGAATCGGCGGTCCCCGTTATGAGCCTGGGCTAAGCCACGGGACAGCGGCGCGGAAGGGTGGCGCGAAAAAGACGGAGGGCTAACAGAGCACGGGACACAGAGGGAGAAAGAGAGAAACAGCGATACAGAGAAACCTGGAGAGAGAAAGAGAGGGAGCGAGAGAGAACAGCAACGGACGAATAAAAGCTAGCGCCGAGCAGATGGCTGGTGCGCAGCCATTAGCTAATGGATCCCTAACACCAGTACACCGGAGAGTCATCCGCTAGGAAGTACAAACCGGTAGGTGGACGCGTCTATAGGTGACGCTGGCGGTACGCGCGCACCCTTTCGCCCGGCGGACCCAGCAGCCAACGAAATCGTGCGACGGCAATCGCGCTAAATCACAAACGGGCCGACGAATGGCGCGCTTTTCCGTCCGCAGCATCCGCCTTCCGGCGTGTTTCTCCGTTCGATCGACCGTGCACGCGTTTCCACCTGCACGCCGCGCTGCCAGGAACCTGCGCGTACCACGCACTCGCACGTCCCTGAACTGCGAAAATTACGGGGACAGCTGCGCACCGGGTATCGCATGATTTTCAACCAGGGATTGGAAACAGTCATGATATCGGTTTCGGTTCCTGGAGCGGTTGCGGGAACCGAGGAAATATCTACGATTGTGGTGGATGTTTTGGTTCTGATCCATGCCGGGTTCGGTTTCGGTTCTTCACAACTGATAATATCGATTTCGTAATTGCTACTTTTCGAGCCGATGTCCCGTGACCATTGTTTTTGAGGAACTTGTGGGGAATTTGAATGTGGGAAATTAGCAAAGAATACACACGATATGAGAAAAATATTTGTTGCGAATATTTGTTGCACTATATGGGTTGTGACTAATTATTTTTTATCGTAATCCCATATTTATAACTGTACAGTTAAAAATTTGAATTTCTGGTAAGATCTGCTGTCTAGTTATTATAATGTAAAATCTAGAAATAACAGTTATGGAACTGATACGAAACCGATAAAGTATTAGTTCTGAAGAACTGGGACTCAAATCGATAGGAGTCAGGACCGATATACCTGTAGCAGTCACGGACACCAGTTAAATTTCCATAACTGTTTCAATTAGAACCGATATATAACGCTTTCAGGTAATTATTTTAAAACTCTTTCGATTCCTGATAGCCAATCAATTCAAGTGTCATCCCACGCGCGTCTGCGATGCTACTTCGTAATCGTCATTCCTTCTTTTTTTTACCGAGTATACGATATATAGATGGATACTTTGCTCGTTCATGGGGGTTATTATTATGCGGACCACGCGACGATCAAGTAAAACGCTCGGTCTCGCAGGATCGGGACCGAAACGTTCGAAACGACGTGTATGGGCGTAATTGGAGTCGTTATTGGAAATTAGTTGCTACCTTGTTTTCTTGTCGGGACGTCCCGCGATATTTTAGACTGCATTGCTTATCTTTATTCGATGCATAATCTTAATGATTGGATTCGGTCTTTTTTTGGGATGAGGCTTGTCGCGTGAATTTTATTAACGAGGTGAGATAAAATGAAATTGAAGAGTGCTCGTAACACACGCTGTACGTGCCAAATACCGAATTTTTTAAAAGAGAGATAAGTTAGCCAGCATTATATTGGACTGGTTGGTAATGTCATCCTTTAGCGCTATATATTGATGAGTACTTATCAAATGGAAATTGCTTTGAAACTATATGTACATATACTGCAGTATTGCCGTTGAATATTTTCTTCATAAAGAAAAGATATTTCAGGGTTATCTATAATGAGACAGAAGTGTAAAGGATTTTGCATGAAATGTGGATGGAGATTGAAAAACTGCTTTGGAGTATAGACTTGTCTAATGTATAAATTCGTTGGACTAACTGTTTTATTACCCCCTGTGTTATAATATCGCCGCAAAGATTTAAAATTAAATTTCATAAGTGTAAAGAATGAAAAATTACTTTAACATATAGGACTTCTGCAGAAATTCGAATAACCGATTCGTCTGTTAATTTCTTGCTTTATGGCGTGGCGTTATAATATTCATCTGAATGTTATATATATATATAGGATACAGGAGAACGACGAGGAGAGATGGATTTCGTGAAAAAATGATTGATTTCTAATTTATTTTTAATAAAGTCATGGAAATAACTATGAACTACGATAGCACCGCAATCGCCAAATAAAGCAGAACCAACGTGTTCGCTTGATTGTCACCGGACAATATCGCGAAACACAACAGCGAAACGTGTTTCGCCTTCGCAACAGTGACGGCGTTTGACGAAACAGGGACAATACCGCGCGAGCCAGAAATTTATAAAGCTTCTACAGCGGAACGAGCTTTCGGAAACGCGATTGACGGCGGTCAAAGAGTTTATCGCATTCGCGGAAGTTAGCGCCGAACGTATGTACCCGATATAATGCGCTGGAACACGCCTCGGCGTTCTCAGAGTCCCGTGCAGTATCGATTGCACAGGGAATCCACTTAGACCTCTCCCAGCTAATTTTTTCCGTGAAAAGAACGCGACTAAAAAAGAGGTATCTCGAGCGGGTAAAATTATTAATTCGGCCAGAGTTACGATGTCGAACGATTTAACCGTCCGAGGAGGGACGGGAGCGAGGTGGACAGGGGTTGGTATAAATGGTCGAACTTTTTAAAGCGTGCACGCCGCTTCTCCATGTTCTTCTTTTTTTCCACTCCCCCTGCCGCCTTTTTTCTTCCAGTTTCCTCGAATCGACGTTGTATGTATATCCGTCGGGCTCAACGGCGGAAAATGCGAGGCGCGACGTGGCCGCCGAAAGGGTGCGCCGCGATTTCGGCCCCAGCTCCACCCCCAATTACCTAAAATACACTCGCGTCGCAACTCGGTCCCCGGATATCTATAATTAACGCGGTGATCGCACGCTGCGACCGGTGACGCGTGAATTCGGTATCACTTTCCAATTTACGGCCGGTATGCCGGCGAAGAACGAAGTCGGTCGTTACCGGGCGATGATACGGGGCCGCGTCA